CCACCACCAACACCACCACCACCACCGCCACCCCCGCGATGACGGCGACGGTGACTATCACCCCTCCCAGTGCCACTACCAATTGCAACATCCCTTTTCCCCAATTGCCCACATCCTTGGCAATGCGGGGACTCTCCCAACCTGTCCTCGTTGCGATAGTAGCTTCAGATCACGTTTAGGCTTGGTCGTTCACTTTCCAGTCCATCGCATCGAGACCGGCCAAGCGGTGCCCCGTTGTCCGACATACACGCGCCGCACCCCCCTCGTCTCTTTGAGCTGTCCATGCGCACTCGGTCGGCGACATGCATATCCACAACAGCGGAACTCACCGCAATGTTGTCATGCCAGCCACACTTTGCACATCCGACGACGATCTCATCTCCAGCACTACCAATGCCCTCTCTATCAGCACCGCCACCGTAAACAACCTCGTCACCACAACTACCAACAGCGATCACATATGCTTCTGAACAACTGTTACTAACATATCCGCCCGTACTGTCGTCGCACATGCGCATGCGGCATCGGCTTGATAGGTCACTTGCGGATCCATCGCACGGAGACTGGCAGGCCAGCGCCGAGAGCATCAGTGCACACCACACCACACCCACCCCAAGTGCCCGCAATGTCCACACACATTCAGTCACCTTATGGGAATACTCGGTCAAATGCACCTCCCTGCAAACCTGCAAAAAATCACTGCGGGCTAAATTTCATCAATACACATTTTACCACCAACCAGTACACGAAACGCGAACTCGTCCACATCACCCACCGCAGGCACGGATCAGGCGGGAAGAGTGTTCATCCTTCCCCTTGTCGCCTCTGTGCTATTCCGATGCCTGTTAGAACCAAACAGCCCTCCCCTTTTCGCGAAGACCTGGTTTCTGTGTGCAGGGCTTGATCGCGTGTGGTACGCACAGGCGGGCGCCTCCATATCAGTCAACCGTCATACATAATCCTGTACTCCGTCCACAGAGACGCCTACACAGTCACTGCCGCATGGAAAAGTGAGGCTGATGCTTGGTCGTCCTTCCCGTGCCCATCCGCTCTTTCCTCGCTATAAGTAACGAAACATCTTTTAACCACTCATTGCGCGCTAACAATCGTGATCTGAGAAGCTACTCACTGAGGGAATAATATAGTCCCGTTAGAAGCTGAGGGTCAGGTAGCAATGGCTCCCCACTAATGTGGCTTTTATGGCACTCTCACTTACAGTGAGTGACCGATCTCACGAAAGGTTGGCTGAAATTCTGAAATGTGGTTTCCATTAGGACTTAGGTGGGGTTGAAACATTCATTATCATGGGACATAGACCTAATACATTTCGGACTCGGTAGGAAGTCAGCTTTTGAATGCTCCACATTTTAATTTTCTGTAGAAACTGTACTCGGTAAAACATGACTACTTAAGTAGAATGTATCTTTCGCAAGGATTTTTGATGGTCTTGAAAATTCAAATATATTTTATAGAGATCCTGAACAAATTATGCTCTCTTTCATTTGTCTGATAGGGAATCACGCCGTCTTCATATTTTGTACTCGCTGAAGGAGTATAATTAGGTTTTAAAAAATTTTTCTAATTCCCGAATAATTTGGAGCTTGATCAGTCGTTGCATTAGCGCTTAGTGATTTCAGTCTTTATGGTGAGTGTGCTCCCCGTAAAGAAAATCACATATTGCTCCATGCCATTACAGAGATACTATATAGGATTCATGAAATTTTGCAATGGATGCGGATCATGTTGCACATTTCATGGTGAGCAGTGGTAAACAGACGGGTATGATGCTGTATGAATGGATATTGCACGGTCTTGAAAAATCTCATAATTAGAAACTTTTTCAAAACCTTATTATACCCCTTCTTTGAACATAAAATATAAAGGTGACTTGTTCTCTACCAAACGATTGAAAGAAAGCATATTTTTCCTCGTGATTTCTATAAAGTATATTTAAATTTGCAAGACCATCGAACATCAATGTGAAAATCGCATGCTAATTAAGTAGTCATTTCTTGTCAAATACGGTTTCTAAGGGAGATTTAAAAGCAATGCATTCAAAAACCGACATCCTGCCGAGTCCGAAATATTATAGAATTATGCCGTTAGAAAATTAGTTTTGCAACTACGCTTAAGTAATCCTTCCTACTCGAAAACGCATTTCATACTTGCAGTCAACATTTCATGAGATCGGTCACTCACTGGACGTGGGCTCCGAGACTCCGAGAACCGGGTCGTGCATGGCATGCGTGTACGACCTCTTTCGTTCCAGTCCAAATTAACTTCAGCGTTGTAATATTAGTAGTAGTATCCAGTAATTATAAGTAGATATATCTACTTCTTTACAAGAAGACGGAACCAAACTAACTCCGCAGACCACCTCTATGCTCATATACTCGTTTTTTCTTCCCCTAAAACAGTCAATAGTAACCGAGTTATAAGAATTCTTTCCAAATAGATGCTGCTTGGTTTTTTCAGAATGCGACCATGTCTACCTCGGCGGATATCCTGCTACGCCTTATGAACACCGGCCATTAAGCGGATGTTAAAAGAATCCTTTTGAGCGGTATGCAGGGCACGGACAAAACAGTTGAAGTGCTGCTGTTTCTGCGCATATTCACGACGATGGTGCCTATCGCTTCGCATCTGGAGACTCCTGTTCTGTGAGCGCAAGAGGCCTCACCTCGGGCCAAAATCTACCCCTTACTCGGACGTAGACAAGTAATCTGCAAAGTTTTACTAATACAACGACTCCTTTTCGTGAGTAAACTCAATAGACGTGGTTAGTAAGCCACAGCTGTGGGGCTACAAGAAGGGAGGAATGGTTTACCTAGAAATAGATGGTGTTTCTATCTGGACGCAAAATTAGAAAGTTAGGCTGGTTTTTCAGGGGTTTTCGATGCGAATTAGAAGGCATATTTTGCAGGATTGTGAAAGACAGTCCAAACAGATGTGGCGAGTAGGGCTGTTTTTAATGTATCGCGCTATTCTGCGTTTAGAACGAGAGCGACGAATTCCCATGAAGAAGCGTTCTTTTGTGACCCGGGAATGGCTGTATTTTAAAGTAAACCGGTCTAGGGGACTATCTGGCGAGCATACGCTTACTTTCGATCAGTTCTCATTTGACCACTACATTAGTACGGTAATGGGGTCAAAAAGCGTGTGGGTGATGAAAGAAGTCGAGTAATGCGCGTCTCCTCTCGTAAGTGGGAGGTGAGAAAAGTAGACGTAGGGCCGGTGTGTTTAGTGTGGGAAAGAAGAAGGTTGGGAAAAGCCGTGTCTGTAGAGGGGAAGGAGCGGAAAATCGCGTACAATTAGCGTCTTAACTGACTTTTGACAGTGATAAATAGGGGACGTGTAGGTAATCCTTCTGTGCATACGTGGAAAGGTAATCATAGCCGGGTTACGCGAACTGACGTTGTGCGACCAGAAGACCTTCGTACAGGTCTTACATTTCCCATGGCCAAACACCAACTAAGTCAGTGGCTACATGCAATTTTCCACGCCTTGCTCCTTTCCCCCCCTCCCCCCCGTCTGCACAGCACTTTCCAACATTCTGTTCGTCCGCATTAAACTTCGTTACCTTGCTACATGACTACTGACTGCCTCTAATTATCCACTAACATTCCCCGCCTCCCATTTGTGTAATAAAATAGGCACCACCCGATTTCTCTTATTACTCAAGTGTCTAAGTTGATCGTTTTACTATATTAATGGTAAGATGTGGTTATGTAACTTCACCTGATGGACACAATACAGTTGGTTTAGAGTGTAGAGCTGCGGTTAAGGGTTAGAGCTTAGGGTTAGGGGTTAGGGAAACTATTTCTCAACCATTCAAAGCACAACTGCGCATCCCCAATAGCTTATCTTTTGCATACTATTGCTTGACTTCGTCGCCTGTGTGGTCCCCGGTCCCGCAAGCAAAAACCCCTATTACAACCGCTCCCGTGTTACGGGTGGCAAGGGGTTTTTTACCTCAAGTGGGGCTACATAACCACATCTGACCATATAAATGCCCTGGTCCTCTGGGAATTTATCGAAAGCACAGGCACTCTCGCCAAACAATCTTCCGAATCCTTTTAGAAGGATTTATGTACTTTTAAATTAGCTTTCTTTAGCTGACTGGGAACAACATAGAGAATATTGGGCAGTGTTTTCGGACGAATTACAGCATTTTTTGCACAAACATTCTTACTACTGCCATATTTAAAGTGAAGGTGTAGAGTCTACCAGAACGCCGTCCGGGCGCCAATGGGCGGCCGGCAACCAGAGGCATCCTTCGAGGTTGCACCCTAACACTTTTTTGGGTTGTCTCAAATGCAGAAAATGAGATGCCTACTGTTAGATCACAGCTCATACTGGCGACTCTCCCAGGAAGTCGGTCGACCTGCCTTTGAATATGGCCGACAGGCCAACGACACGACCCACGCAGTGGGCGGTTGGCGCTCGGCTGTCACGTGTTTCTTTCAAAGGCTGCGCTATCGACTTTTGCTGTGGGCGTCTCCATTCTTCCCGGTGTAGGTAACTCGTGGTTCCAAGGGCAGCGCGTCTACTTGCCAAAATGACCTCAAATTTTGATGTTTTTGCGGGGGCCGTTTCGATTGCCGGCCGCGTCAACGTCGACGTGGTGGATGAACAGGAGGGGGCCCTACTAACTGGCAACTTTGAAATCTCTGAAGTGGCGCAGAAGGTCTCTGAGGTCGCACGCGGTGAGTACTGTGGCCCCACAGTCATAACCGGAGGTGCTGAATGCTATGACGGCCTCACCCTGCAATTAGCTGGCAAGGGCAATGACATCAAGGTAGTTGTTAATGACGTCATGCTAACTGACGACCACGGAGGCGCGGTACCGGCGGTCAAGAAAAAGTTCACTTCCGGCAAAGTGCAAGTTGAAGTGCTGGAGGGCGGCACGAGTGAGAGCAATCCTACCGTCATCTCCCTCAAGTTTTCGGAGCCGGTCACAATGAAGTGGGTTGCAGAGTATGTGGATGACCCGAGCTTTTCTTTTGGGGAGGCTCGCAGACCCAGTATTCAATTCACGTCAGATGCCTATAAACTGCTGGCCATGTCGGACTCTATAGATGCGGCCGCAGCCGAGAGCAAACGTCTTTCGCGAGAGGTGATTGGACGTGCAGAGCAGAGACTGACCGCTCATGAGGGTCGAAATCGTGTTGCCAGCCGCCAACTTGCTCAAACAGCCATTTGCCACGCGGAGAATAGGTTCTTTGAACATGAAGCTCGTTCAGTGCAAAAGCTGGATTCTGTAGCCCCCAGGACAATGCAGGCGCGCCTCTTTACCCCCGCCAGCACAGAACGTGCCCAAGTAAGCTTGACGAAGTCTCTGGAAGGCAAAAAAGTGCCCATGAATGCTTCCAGTTTCGCCGACTCTGGTATACTCGACCACCCTAAACCAAAGGCCGGTGGACGTCCGCGGAGCTATGATGCCTCAAGCGCCAGCACCACCACGAGCTACAAGGACATTGCTTTCAACGCACAGGAACACGCAAGCCGACTGACAGCTGCCACAGCCCACTGCAAGGCCGAGGATGGCGTAGTTGGTAGTTCCAACTCCGCGGTTTGGGGCTTGATTCCTAACGTTACCAGCCTGGGGACTGGAACGTACTTCGACGAGGAGACCAGTGCCACAGATCCCCCGACGACCTCTTCGACCGGCCCCAAGATTCGGGGAAGGGCTCAAAGCACAGATGTCCGAGGCAGTCAAACCCGGTGTGTGCATGCGAGGCATATGAGTTGTTGTCGGCAGCAGAGCACCAGCAGTGGCCAAAGCATCACTCTGATGCAGTCACTCGGTATGACCGCCAGTATGCTGCGTTCCTATGCAGCCTCCACGGAGACATCGGATGCACAGGCGTTTTTGCCCTTTATACAACTAGTAGAGGAGATCTCTCAAAGGCAGAGGACCAAGCCAGAGGAAGCGTTGGATTTGGCTACCTCAAAGCGGCTGCAGACCCTTTTGGCGGTGGCCATACAGAGGTTCTCGGCGGTTGAAGTGCCACCGGAGAAGTGCGACATCCGTGTGCGTCCGTGCAGTCATGCGCGGGATCGGTAGCTGGGCGGGAAATCACTTCCGGTTTGTTAAAGGATCCAAAGACCTGGTGAGTATGCTAACCGTTTCCTTGTTAGCAAAAAGCGAGTCGCTTCTGCTCGGCCTGGCGGCAAGAAGACTATAGTTTAATGCTGGACAGGCGTATACGTATTTTGCGGAGAGCAAGACGACTGACCTTGAGATGTCCTATCAGTGTCGTCAGATGAGAGTCTGGCATTTACAGTGGAGTTACTGCTCCTCGATCTGACCGATGTGATAAAAGTAGCTCTGTCCTCTGGGTATAGGGCTCGTTGGTACGAGACGCCAATCGGACTGCAAAACGAACGAGCAGACACTATCGGTGATGTAGCAGTAAAACAGCGGAAACTGAGATAGCAGCTGCCCCCTCGACTAGCACTTACTACAGAACACAGACTTATGCTGTTTATCTACGAGTCTACGAGCCTGACACTCGCCAGGTGCGCTGCCATGGTACAAATGTTCTGCTGTCACTTTCGGGTGACCTTGTGGCGACATCTAAGGTCATAGGCGGACGCTGACCACTACGATCTTCAGCCCCGGTCCCGAATATAAAGTGGGGAGGCTGGGCGTCAGTGGAGAGAATATTGTATTCTGTAAAAAAATGTATGGGGTAGACGTCAGAGCGTCTTGAGCGGAGGGCATGTCTGAGTCGGCCTTGAAGTTGATTGGCCGACTCGGATAGCCGTGATTGGTCAAAAACCAGACTGCCGGTGGTATGTACGTGGTAGTACGCGCCAGAAGAAACTCATTATGGCCGTAGAAGTCCGCAGTAGGGACACTAAAACCTCAGGAGGAGATTCCATGTCTTAAAGTATCCCTGATCTGCAGGGCGGCGGATCTCAACTGCCGACGGTAATAAGGGAGAAAGCGTGAGGCGTGACCGTCTTCTCTTCCTTATTTTTCTAAGCCTGGGCTCAACAAATAAATCCGTCCGCAATGGACGTCCTTAACTCGATGGTGTCCATGACAGTTACTAGTCTGTTTTGTTGACTGCGTCCAAACTTACATCCAGATTATCCGATGAAAAAGCATCCGCGCCAAGTTATGCGCGTTAGCTTCAGTCTAATGGAATTCGTTGTAATTCACTCAGTTTGCATGCGTGGTTCTTGATGGCCCATTTTCCGGTGGACACATCAGTACTGATACAGCATGGAATTGTGTAGCCAAGACCCTCGAACCGACGTTTTCGTACGGCCAGTAAGAGGCCTTGGTTTATGCCGTAAGATGCCTTTTATCCTGGTAGCCATTCCAGCCCGCCAGGTAATGGGAACCGTGAGTTGCTTACTCCCTACGTAGTGAAACCTTTCTGCGAGTAGGGTAGGGTATGTGACCCCTGGATGGTTGATGTGCTTTATAAGGGCTTGCCTGACAGTAGCCCACGAAAGGGGTTGGTTATGCAGGAAGCAGATTTTCACATTCAATAGTATTGTCAGTATTAAGGTTACCCGTCTTGGACTCAAGGGTAGGCTTCAGACAACGGTTAAAATTGATGTCAATTGAGTTATTCTTGGGAATGGGGCCTCCAGACTAGCATTTACACGACCATTACTCAGGCAACTCAGGACCAACCACATGACAGATCGACCGTTGCGAACGATCTACACCTACCACACTTCCTCCACCCCTCGCCCACCTGGATACGGTGTCAAGACAGAGTCAAGAAGGTCGGAGATGGGCACGAGCACACATAATCTGATCTCCACAGCATGCAGCAGGCGGCTTGGATCCCACATGTGTCACGGAGTCATAACTGTCGCATTGGGAAGGAGCCATTGCAGCTTGACTCTCAATTCTGAGGGGGTTGAATTAGCCATCGCGTCCATCTTCAGCCGTCCTACACTGTCACTGGCGTATGGCGAGTGTGGGAAGGTGGCGTGAGATAGATGCTTCGACCGTCTACTCCCCTATAAACAAGTTCATTTGCGAGTTTTCACCGTGCCTTCTGTGAGATAGCATTCTACCCTTGTCACTTGGAATGGGAAGACTCTCATGCGTAAATGTACAGCATTCTGTTGTGAAAAATTAGATAAGGATTCGGCCATCACACGATACACCAAGCTGCTGTTTGTCAGTCTGCTTGACAACACTGCCAGCAAAGTGGTACCCAATGTTACTCCCTGATAGACTTAGCCATATGTATGTTATTACCGACGAAGACAAGGGAGACTGGAATGGCCATTTCTGGCCCGTAAGAACGATCTGTGAGCGCCCCCTACCATTGTATATTCCCGATCGAAAACCAACAGGACAACGAGCTCGTGGTCCGGTGGGTTGAGGCGTGGACTTCTAACGAACAGGTCACGAGTTTGAGCCTCGGGTTTTCCACACTTCGTGGCTGGGTATGACTGGCTGACGACGGCTAATAAACCAGAAATGGTCATTCCAGTCTCCCTTTTCTTTGTCGGAAATATCATACTGCCTATATCATGCGTCCATGTGTGGCCGCTGGTTGGGCTCGAAAGAGGGCCCGTAAAGCACAACGGAACGAGTGAGTTCCGTAAGAACGATCGGTGAGCGTCCCCTATCATAACCAAATGTTTTCAGTAGTCCACCCTTAAACCGGCCCTTCAATGGGAAGTCATTACTAACAAAGGCAAGTAGAACTGGAACGACCATTTTCGGCCTACTTGCCGTCGGTCAGCCGGTGCCGTTTTCTCGGCGAGAACGAAGTCTTTGTTGTTGTATAGCTCAGCCTGTCACAGGGGAGGATACCTGTTAGGCTACACTCTTAGCTGTAAGTACGTGCACTTCCAAGTAATCCGTCGGTAAGGCAGCAGACGCCCCGAAGAACCAGCGATTTTTATATCTAAAACACTTGTTTTGTCAGTCTTGGGGAGATGGAGAAGAAACATGAATGGAGACCTAGGGTTGGTGTGGCTGCTTCTGGCCATCTGGCCAGCTATACCTCGGACGAAATTCCTCCGGAGTCCACCTTTGATTGTGAAAAGATTGCTAGAACGAACATTTCCTAATCACACTATCTTGGTTATCTGCATTGGGAAGGGGTAGGGTATATAGCCCCAATGGGTGGTTGGTATGCTTCATACTGGTGTATCTGATAGTAGGTAGCGAAATGGGTTATGCAGGAAGCATATTTTGACCTCTAATAGCGTTACCGATATTACAGCTACCCGTTTTGGACTCAAGTTTAGGGTTTAGACAACGGTTAAAATAGATGTCAATTGAGTTATTCCTGGGAATAGGGCGTCCAGGCTTCGGTTAAGATTTGAATTAGGGATGGAGGCTAGGCAACGGATTTTAGGGCTTGGTTTACGGCTACGGTTACGTCCGACGTTTCTTTAAATGCTCACAAGTTAGGGATTTCCCACTGAAGGCATGACAATGGTTGGCGTTAGGTCTGTAGCTACCTACGGTCTACCCAAGGGAGTTAATGCCATACCCTTGCCACACAGGTCTTCAAGGTAAGCCAGTATTTCTGCTCTGTCCGGTCTGTCACCGGAACCCTCGAAGCAGCTCCAAAGTTTAATGCGCCCCATGAAGCAGTGACGCCGATGGTTAAGCATTCCACAATAGTTATCCAGTAGAAAGCCCAGTTTTAAGCTCAGAAAACTATCGCGTTTTCGTCATGAGGGTGACATCTATCGATGAGTCACTGCATATGTCAATATCATTTGAAGTGAGCCTCTGGTTCAGTGCGTAATCAGCAGGAGAGGCATAATTTTGACGGTTGAGATCCACTCTTGGATCTGGTCTGTCACATGATACTGAAGTTTTCTCTGGAAGCAATTGTTGTCAAATATTCGGAGTTCAAACGTGGCCGCACGACGTAATGGTTTCGTTTCACGTCCAATGGTGAAACGACTTTGATTGTAGCCTCGGGCACTCGAAACTTAGTGCTCTGCGGAATATCTTATTGAAACTGTAAACGCCTCCACGGAAGACCTACGCGCAGTTGCTTAGTACGCGGCGGAAGGTGTTACGTGAGTCTGCTACCAGTTAGACTCAACTCGCGCTGTGAACAGCATCGTTCTCGGTGGTCGAACTGTTATGAAGCTTTAGTTACGCCTAACCCCGTCCCGTTGGAAGGGACGTAAATGATTATGTTTTCACGAATTACAGAATGACATCTCACGAGTCCTAAGCATTTAGGGCAGTAAGTAAACCCGGGCAGTGAATACTATTGATATTCAGGACGTAAAATGACCTGATAGCATAGCACGACGGCGGAGCACGCCAGTGAAACGGGTTTTGTCCAGCCGTATTGTTTCTGTCACGTTAAAACAAGCAATACGGTAAGAGAAAACGGGTTAAGATGGTCAAAGGTAAATTAGTCTAGTACCTCATCACAGAAACAGCGAGATCAAAGCTTTGGTATAGTCAACGCTTCGACTACCTGAGCTACAAGGCCCCACAGCTGGGTTAAATTAATCATTCCAATTTGCAAAGTCATTAATTGATTAATTGATTCCGGCAGTCATCTGGTGGGTTCAAGATTGATTGCTTAGGAAATCCTGCTTGGACAGTCAGCTTACTGTATCAGATTCGATGGATTCTATAAATTACAGTAGGCTAGGCGAGCAAATTAATTAAATTCGCGGCTCTTGGTGGGTCCTCATAGCTCAGGTGGTTATAACGTCGGTCGTACTCAAGCCTTTTTCTTGCTGTCCTCTGTTCCAATCCCACCGAAGCCGCCGAGTTTTAACTGTTGGGTCGAATGAATTACAGTAGGTGGGCTAACCTATGAAATTCCTAAATGCGTTTTCACTTCGAAAAGGTTTATTAAGTAGGGTTGTAAAACTAATCAGCCTGCAGTACAACTCTATAAAAATTTAGTTGCCTCAGGATGCTGGCTTTTGAATGAACTTCTTTCCGGCTGCATGCAATAATCATATTCCACGAAAATGACTACTTAAGTGGCATGTATTTTTCTCGCAAGTTTCGATGGCCTTAAAAATTCAATTATATTTCATGGAAAACGTGCATAAAAGTATTCATTCTTTCCTCCTCTTGTAGGACATTAT